AGTTTTTCTTTTGCAATAGATATAATTATTTAGAATTTTCCACGAAAAAGTTGTAAAAAGGTTGTAATGTGGTATTTTATTTGACAAGTAAAACTAGTTAATTAACTATAAAAAAAGGAGATTTATGAGAAATTTCCATTTTTTATAAAGAACCCATATGAAGAGAGTAAATGAAATAGGAAGACCCTATTTCATATTTCGCTAGGTGAAAGATATAAATGGACAAGTACGTACTCATGATGTTTCGGAGAGTTTACTGCGATTTTGTTTACAGTTATCTTCATGCTTTTAATACCGCAATTATCTTGATACTTGATACTCTGGCATATGCCTGGGGCGGCCGGAATTAACAGGGGTGCATCTCCGTCACTTTTGTTGCCATTGCGTTGGGCCGCGACATATGCCACACAATGTGCTGGATTTTGTGGACTGGGGAGGTTGTGGGGGGTTTTATTGATCGCAATGGAATTTAGTTTTACAGTCGTCGAAATTGTGATATTAATATTTCCAAATACGAAACGTACCTATGCACCTCGAATGATTATCGGGCAAACCGTAACAAATGCAATTTACGTAACGAATCTTACTAATATGAATAGATCCTGTCTTAGCGATTAACAATGTTAATTCCTCATCATAAACTTTGCCCGACATTTTGTTAAAGGATCTTTCGTTCCACTTGATACAATAATATCAGCAATTCACTTTCTTCAAACTCGCGCCTACTATTCGTATAAAGCGGTACATATCAAATTTTTACACATATATAAAATTCGAAAAATTTAAAATGCTTTGCCTGAATCCCGTTACAGGTGGGACCAACATGGCTTTTCATATGAATATGGATTTATTTTTAAAGCCCCCCCATTTATATAAAAAAAAATCTAATATTTGTCCAGATCAATGAATTATAGAGAATTACGTTTGTTGGGCTTTTATCTACAAAACCCATCGAACTAGCTAGCGAGAAGGTGGTCCGAATTTTTGTTTTTTTCCAGATTTTAGTAATTTGTGCGATGAAAAACTCAAAAAGATGAGTAGTGGAAGTACATTTTCCTCCGCAATCTATTTGTAATCTAACTATTTTGGGACCCAAAAATTGATTATGTTACCTTAATAACGCTCAAACAAATATATCAATAAATTCATAAACTTTGAACAATTTGTGCGCTCCTACTTTATTCTGATACTTGAAACTTATTAAAACAATAGCCAAAAATATTGCTAATGTTCGTGTAGGTACTAATGAATATCTTTGTATAT